GTGGGGACTTAAACCTGAATACACACCAACTCATGGGGACTTGTGTCACTGTACATGGGTACAAAAGCTTATAAATCATACAGAATGAGAATGAGAGTTTTTTTTTTGAGATTGTAAAAATGCAGAACGTTTTCTGTGAGGGGTAGGTTTAGGTGTAGTGTTGGTGAAGGGCGATAGAAAATATAGTTTGTACAGTATAAAAACCATTATGCCTATGGGGAGGCCCTACAAGGATAGTGAACCAGACATGTGTGTGTAGGGCTGGACAATAATTCAATATCAATATGTATCGCGATATAATTTTTTTCAATAACGGTGATATTCAGAAATCATTCTAATATGCTGATTTGCTGATTATCAGTATTTAAAACAGTTGAGTACATTTTTTTTTCAGGATTCTTTGATGAATAGAAAGATCCAAAGATCAGCATTTATCTGAAATAAAAAGCTTTTGTAACATTATACACTATTCCATTCAGTATAATTTTTATAATTTTTTGGGGGAAAGAAATTATAGAAATTAATACTTTTATTTAGCAAGGATGCTTAAAATTGATCAAAAGTGATGATAAAGGCATTTATAATGTTACAAAAGATTTCTATTTCAGATAAATAGTGTTCATATCGATATCGGAATTATATCGTATCGACCGAAATTAAGAAATATATCGTGATATCAATTTTGGCCATATCGTCCAGCCCTATGTGTGTGTGTGTGTGTGTGTGTGTGTGTGTGTGTGTGTGTTTGTGTATAGACAGATATAGGTGTGTCGATGAATGTTCCAGTTTCAACCTCTTGTCAGCATTTGCGATGCAGTAGTGAACCTTCCAGTGTGAGATTGAGAAGATCTGGAACATCTGTGTTGTCAAAAGTGATTTTGAACCTTGCTAAAGACTATTGTCTATTGGTTGTTGTTGTTATTATTTAATTTTATTTCTATGCAGGACATACATAAACACATGAGTTTGTTTAAGCCATAAAAAAAAAAAAAACTTATAGCAAGGACAACTAATTGTGACAACTACAATGTGTTTTATGAAAGCAAATGAGAAACACTGTGCTAATTAGGAAATATTCTGTCTTGCCATTCTATTCTTACCTTTCTAATAATCGGAACCGCATCCTTTTGTCCCTGGTGATTACGTCCATTCTTTGTAAAGCTATCTGGAAGAAATCTGTAGCACAATAGCAGTTCATCTTTGGTCTTTGGTCCATCCAGTCATGTTGAGTATAATGATAAAGTAGCATAGATACGATTACTCCTAAATAGAAAAATGTGTTATTACAAGTGCTAAATGTGAGAGTTAAATGTGTTAAAAGAAAGTGTAATAAGTGGTTAGCCTGTCAAATAAAGCAATAAGCCCCAAGAACGCGAAGCACGACGTGAAGCGGAGTGCCTAAAACCCCCTTAGCTGTTATAAATTCACTGTAAACCACGGCTTCACGGGGCTTATTGCTTTTATAAAACAGTTAGTCCATATACGTAGTAAGGTTTCACAGAATAAAAAAGAGCAAATAAAGTGTAATGATATAAATAAAAACAGTATTCTTCCACCAAACAATGTAGTTCCTCAGAAACAGTTGTGGTTCCAACAAAGTGGTTGCCGAGCAACACACAGAAGTAAACAAAGGTGTAGGTTTGTAGTGTAATTTACAACAGCTTTGAACGCGGCTCAACCAATCAGAATCAAGGACCGGAACTATCCGTTTTATAAACTTGTGTATAGCACCTACAGCTCTGCAGATCATAAGATTCCCAACACTAGAAACAAATGGCTTAAGTTGATTTTAAACAAGACTATGGAACTGTTGATGTTTGAACTGTTTGATGCTAACAGTTTCAGGAGCATTTCAGCACATATTTATGAATTCATCATAATGTAATGCAGCGGTGCAACAAAAATTTGCATTACTGAAGAATGAGGCAGATTAAAAACTGCACAGTACATGGCACAACTGTAATTCCTTAGCCTGTGTCTTAATGAAGGAAAGCTCCAAAATGTGTGACTTTTAGTTCACGTTAGCTTTGAAGTTAGCATCAGTATACTAGTGTACTCCTACATTTGACTGGTAGAAAATATACACATTTATTGTGTTAACATTTATGGCCACAGATCAAAAATAGTTAAGTAATATTATTTTTTGTCCAATCAAATGCTCTCTAGAATGAAGGCCCCAATATACTTCAAATTAAATCGAAGAACAAAAAGGTGTGATGTCATTTTGAACAAAATCTGGGCAAAACAAGTGTTTTTGGAGTTTGTATCAGTGGTTCAAAACAGTTTGTCAGCACAAACTTCTCAAAAAACTTTGCGCAGCTGTTAAACACCTTCAATGGAACAACCTTTTTCGATACTTTATTTCCCAAATATTAAGCAAAACACACTGTATTAAAATATGATATGAATCTTTGAGGTATTTGCTAGTAGCTTAGAAGACAAAGAACAAGAACACATCACACAAATGGTGTTTGTTGCGACCATTTTTATATCTTCTGTGCACAATTTTGTGAGTGGAAATTAATATTCTTTTCAATGTTTTTTTTCTCCATGAAAAACATCATCATCAGTCTGAAATAAAACAATTCACTCTTTGTCCTTTCACAGGCATAAAGTGAGGAAATTTGCATCTTTACATGAAGTCCACATTTCATTCTGTTCTCAATCACATTCATTCCACGTTTTCTCTCTATATATTTATATATACTTTTAGTTTGTAGAAAATCAGTTTCTGGTCATTTGAAACCAGGCCATAAGAATCAAAACAGAAGAAAATTCCTTCTATACATTTGTCCATTCATTTTTGCGCATTTTGTCTTCACCCTCCAGCGGTTTTCCTCCCTTCATCCAAAAGGACTCAGCAACAGAGTGGCGAAATCGAGGAGGACTACAATCACAGTCTGATCTGAGGAAAGAAAACAACAAAGTTCCAGCGACACACCTTTGATGCCCCCCTTAGTCTCTGAGGAACACGGGCAGAGGAGCGACAATATGAGCGCGTGCTTTTGAATGTGTCTGCTGTCGTGTCGGGGAGGGCACAAAGTAGTCAGTAAGTGGCTAATGATGTCGGCATTGACGGTTGTCATGGTGACTGCGTGGGTGGGCTGCTCTGGGCAGAGCTTGGAGAAAGGGAGGGGCTACAACTGCCTGGAGGGGCGCCGGCGGCCCGTGAACTGATCCCGCCCGAGGAACTCTCCAAACCCTCAGAGTTCTCCAACATCTCCTGGATAAGAGGAGGCATGGAGCCGGGAATCTCCATCTTCAAGGTGATCACACGCTCTGCCCCTGTGAGAGATGAAAAATTTTGTTTTAATTTTATTTTCAAGTAGCTACACATTTGTCTTGCAGTAAAATACAGAGTTCTGGCATGAAACTCTAGATGGCGCAGTCCGATAGGTCTAACTCAATCTGACCTAATGACATCATTATCACATGGCACAGCTGATTGGTTATCTCCTGTATCGGTAGCCAACGAGCTCGCTGCTCAACATTCAAATATATGACTAGTGCTTGCCGTAGCAGT